CCCCCCCCCCCCCCTGGATCCGCCAGTGTATATATGTTCACTAATTAAGCTTTTTGAAGTGATTTGAAATCTGTTTTATATTGATATTTTAAATTTGAAACCTACTATCCATATTTGTCCATATTTCCATTAAATTACATATTTTCATTTATTTAAGAAAAATCACTAACATTTGTGTATCTTAATATTTCATTTGTAATTTTAATTACAATGTTCCTTATTAGAAACTTTCAGACTGATTTTTGGAAGAAAATTTTTATATTTTAGTTCAATTGTAAGTGGTGTATTGGCTTTGAATGTAGATCTGGACTTTATCTCCACAATATGATTCAAGATGGACCCCATTTCTACAACTGATGCTGAGTAGTACTTCAGCAAGTACAGAGCAATTAAGAAACAAAAAGGGCACTTTCTCTTCAGAACATTTGTAACTGACTGATTCGTAAATGTCCAATTATCAGAAACGAAATAAAACTTTCAGCAAAACATAAACTTTCTGTGTGTTTTTTAGTACAACACATGACTAAATCTTGTTCTTCAACTTTTTAATATTATTAATTTTAAAAAGGAATTCTTTGCCCATTCCATTCATCATTTGATTAATACCCTATTTTCACCATTTTAATATTTTTATTTAAATTTCAGCCAATATTTTACTCAATTTTTTTAGTATACACGTTTGTACATATTTAGGTAAATGTTATTCCATATAAATCCCAGCCCTGGTGATGAGATTATGACTTAAGAATGTAATGATGCAAATGAAACATTTGCATTATTACTCAACTCAAAACATTTACATTGTGAAAGTTTTTGGTTGTAACAGAATCATGCTAGTACTTTCTTGGAGCCACAACACTGGCGTTAATAGATATCATATTCACCTTGCAGCTGATTCAACAGAAGATTTTCATAGCTAAAAAGTGATGAGGTTCCACAAAGAATAAGAACCATCACAACATTTGCTTTACAGCAATGAGACTTCCTTAAGAAATATTAAATATTTGAGTCTAGAGCATTTTACAAAAATAAATTATATAAATGCCCTATACAGGTACTGGTGAAAGATAATATAGCTATTCAATCAAGTTGCAATTACAAAGTCCCACTGGTTCCTTTCTGGTTGTGTGCACAATTCCATGGTCACCAGAGCTCCATTTTCCACCTTTTCAACTGCCAAACACTTCCCAGCAGCCATGTTGTAAATAGGTGTCTGAGTCTTGAAAGAAAAAAAAACACAATACATGAAAGCAAAAGTGCACTGACTTGCAGTGCAATGTGGAAATACTATGTCAATGATTAAAACATTGCAATTCTATGTCAAATGTACCGTAGCTCAACATGAAAAATTTGGTCTTCCATTCCAATGTCCAGTCACACTCAATGTATTTTTACATCCTTTTCCAAGAGCGACCATGACATATACAATTTTGTGGGACATTGAAGACAAATATTCAACTGCTAGTACTTCCTCAAAAAGCCACTATTTTATAGATTTAAAAAAAAAATTAAGTTATGTTGCAGCTTTTAATGCATCAGTAAGATTTAAATAAAATGCTGATGGAACTCAAGAGCTGCCAGTCTCTGGATGGCCGAGATTGTAACAGCAATAGTGCCACAGTGATCTCGGACCAAAGGATCGCAGGTCCCGCCTCGGACATGGTTGTGTTGTGCTCGTCATTTCACCCCCTATCATCATGTCGTGTCATCCTCAGTTACCATTTCGTTACATGCAATAGTGGTTGTTAATGAGCTAGAAGTTGATGCAACATTAAATAACAAAAAAAGGAAAAAAAGGGGAAAAAAGAAAGAAAAAATCTCAGCGAATTAAGAGCATGAAGTGTTAAGATTTCCTAAATAAAATAAAGCATTAAAAAAACTGACTGCATACAACACAATTAACATAGACCCTGAATGAAAGAACTTCATACTACACAAGAAATACAAACAAAATATCAGTATACTAGTATATTTTCATTCATGAATCTATTCTTGAAAGTAGAAAATATTTTAACTCCAAAAATTTACTGTGTAAAATAGATTATTATAAAACTATTGCTGAATGTTAAGATGTAATGAGAAGTTGTGTAAGACACAATAGAGGGCAATTGCAAAACCTTTTCATATAATGAAACTTAGATATATGTTCACTCGCACCAATGATGCACTAAAGAATCTTCACTCATCTAAAATGAGAATTTTCAAAATGCATTCATTTATTTTAGTGCACTAGTGTACACTTCAGTGTACATGGTTAACCCAAAGCATGTTCAAAGAAATATCATATTTTTCTCAGCAAGCAATGATTATTTGTTACTGAATTGAAAACAAATACCAAAGATATTGAATATAGACACACAGGTAAAGACATATTAAATTATGAACTTGTACACTTTATTTAATTTTTACCTTGTCTCTGTGCCTCCATTCCTGGTCACCACCCATTTCATGGCACTTAGAAATCTTGGGCATGCGCTCAGAAGCATCCAAGCACAGCAACTGTGCTAGCACCAACTCACTCTTGTCTGTTTCATACCACATCTGAAACAAAATATGAATTTACAAAATTATCATAAGTAATATTACATGTACTTTGGAATTTACCTGTTATTTTGTGAAAACAAGTTACATTTGAGGCTATTTAAAGAATGTTAATAATAGACACGTGCTAGCTTTCTTGATCTCAATTCTTATGTAACAGAAAATATCTGGAGTTTAAGTCACAAAAACCATCCAGAAATGTTGTTTTCTTTGGTGAACCTAAACTCACGATATTTTCTACTACTGAACACACAGATAGAACTAAATATATTGCCATTAGTTAATAGCATTAATGTTGACAATATTTTATAAATCTTTATTAGAATCTACATGAACCACTACCTCAGCCTTGCTACCTCAGCTGAAGAAGCTACTGAAGCACAGGCATATCAGAGCAATAAAACATAAGTGATAAAACTACATGGAGAAAATATTTTTGATTGGTCAAAATGGATAGAATTTATTATTAATGGCAAAAACAAATAAAATAATCATAATAAAAAATTCCCAAAATATCTTCTTCAATTTTAAAAATATAGTACCACTAAAATTTCAATAAAAAGTATATGTACCTGGTTCTTTACTCTTAAACATTTAGCCAACATCAGAAGAGATCCTCTTGTTTTCACATCTTTTAAGCTGGTAATACACAAACTTGTATTGTGAAGTCGTATCTGAAGAAAATTAAATTCAATAAAGTTCATAAAATTATAGCATTCAATTTTCAATTAAAGCATCATACTGAAACTAAATTTATTAAACACTTACAAACTGTATTTCAGACAATTACTAAAAGCAATTTCCCTCTCAATTAACATTAATATATCATTCATTAAAAAAAGTGAAAAGAATAAATACAAAGTATGTAAAAATCTTTATAAAAAGGGTATAAAACATGATAAACAACTAATTAAATTAAAAGGGGGTTTTTACCTGGTAAGCACCAATATAGTTTCGGGTTCGTGAATGCCATGGTTCATATTTAGGCTGTTTCATAGCTTTCCATTTCTGTCGCAAACGCTCTGCATTATCAGTAGGCAGACTCAGTTCAGGATAGACATTTTGTAGATACCACTGAAAGCTATGGCAAGCCAATCGTTTCCTGAGATTAATGCGTTCACTCACATCACCGTAAGGAACATCCTTCACGTGTGGTCTTTGTTTGAAGAAGTAATCCTGCCAAAAACTTAATTTTTACCAGTTGCTGATACACTGAATTGTCTTTCATAATTTTCTAATTGTTCAAAGAACTTTCATATTTATTTAATCTAGTGAATACTCTCAGAAATCTTCAATGCCTTTGTTACCAAACAAATACATATCATCAAAAATATATAACATACTTATAAAAATTAAATCTGTCAATGGAATTGTGAATTACGGTCTTACACCAAAATCTTCAGAATAATGTCAAATCATCAAATTTTTTCATTGGTAACATTAAGTCCCATTATATTTTATGACACTTCATACATAATATTCACAGTCAGTAAAAATGTTTTACTCAAACTCTGATTGATTTTTAATAAATAATAATCAACCTGTAATGTCAGAAAAACCAGAAATGTTTTGCTTTACCTTGAATTCATCCATCCAGACATGAGCAACTCTTAGTGAATTACGAGTCATTGTATCTTCACCGGAAGGAGAACCATAAGGGCGTCGCCGCCGGAAAACATGACCCACACGTGAACACGGTACAATTTCCAGAGTACCTCCACACATCCAAATCTAGAAAAACATTATTAGAACTTTTTTTTGTGTGAACAAGTATTTAAAACTCTGTAGCTGAAATTCGAGATAAATAATCACATTCCACAAAGAAAAGGAATTCTTTTTCCTGCTAGAGTTTCAGTAATATTCAAATCGTGTCATTGAAAAAATGTAGTTTTACTTTCACTTCAATTGTATTTTCTGTTATATGAATTAACTTCTGTCGACTGGCATTACAAATTACACTAGGATTTATTTAACCATGTACTTGACATAATTCAGCTGTTCACAGTTCCATCCAATCAGGAGCTTGAATGTCCCCATAGTGTCACTGTAGCGACATATAAGCTCTTGATTGAATGAAACCGCAACAGTTGATTTACATCCAGTGTATAACACAACAGAATAGTTTTAAAAAATTAACAAAATGTAATAACAGAGGGGCCTAGGTTAATTTGAAAGCCCCTATTCTTATTTTTACTGAACTCCCCCCCTCTCCAAACCCAATGCTGAAATAAAAGGAAAATCCTGTCAATTCACATTGTATTTTGTAGAACGATAATAAGAAACAGTAAAATGAATACCCTGAATGATATTTCTAAATTTTCTCCTCCCCATATGTTCATTCCTGAATCATATTCTCCAAGCTCTTCAAAGTATGACTTGTCTATTGCAAAAAGACCTCCAGCCATAGTTGGTGACCTGAAGCATAAGACAAGAAAATATAAAATTATTTTTATTTACAAATAATTTTACAATATACTGCACAGTACAATTAAGACAGTTGAAATACATCTATCAAAAATATGAACCGAAAACATTAAGTAAATAAATATTTAAATAATAACCAGAAATGATCACGAAGCAATGAGTAAATATTTTTTAACCTAATTAAGGGTTTTATTAAAATTATCTATTTGGATTTAACACAGAAGCTTTTTTTTGGCTCGAGGATCTTTTACATCCAGTAAATACACACGGGGACAGTCTGCTTTACTTCCCCTCTGAAGCAAGGCATTCAAAGGATTTGTTTTGCACTTAAAAATCCATGGCTTTGATCGGGTTTGAACCAGCAAACTTGGGTAAGCCAATAAGCTAAACCATTACACCACCAAACCCGAAGACTGAGTCTACCTGTTTGTGGATGGGTGAGCCCATGTCTGCTTGTACGACTGTCTGCCCTTGGCCAACACTAGAACCTCAACCATTTAATTGGCTTTCTCTAAACTTGATATTTAATAATCCACCTGGCCAAATTCAGAGCCCTGAGAATTTAAAATGGATTTTTTGATTTTAAGAAGACTTTAAAGCATGAAATGTTTAAACCATAACCATACATTGAAAATTTTCTCAAAATTGACTCCACATCTTGAATTATTTTTTCTCTACGTATAGAACAAAGGTAGGAAAGGAATTAAAAAAACTGGGGCAGATCTCATTTTCATTGAACCCTGAATTTTCAAAATCTGCAAAAGTTAAAAATGTTTTTGGCGTCCTCCAACAATGAAACAACTGAAGATAAGAATTTTTTTCTTAATGAAACGTTTGAAGATAGATCATTAAATAGGGTAATGTACATTTTTTCAAATATTTGAATAGTTTTTTATAATTTGGCAAGAAATATAGGCAGTTTTTTAACAATTAAATTTTTTCAATGACTCCAAACTTTTTGTTGTTGTTGTTTGTTTTTTTTGTTTTGTTTTTGCTAATAAATACAGTTATAAAAATAGCCCAGGACCTATTTTAGAGAACGCACCATATTTATGATAAAGAAAAACTACAATATTGAAGAGGGCTTTTCCTTAACGAAATCCGTTCTAAAAAATTACATCTTTAAATAAGGTCATGTAGAATTTTTTGATAAAACCTACAGATTTTGCTTGAAGTAAAGGCAATTTTTTAAAAATGTTCTTTCACCTCCTGGTAAAGCAAAGATAGCTTAAAAAGTTGGAGCAGATCTCATTTTCATTAAACTCTGAATATTTGAAAAGTGAAAAGTTACAAATAATGCAAGAAAGTAGTTTCTTTTTTTATTGTCACAATTTCACTCAGAAATTGGGGAAAACTTCTCAAAAATAAAACTCAAGAGTTGGTACACATTTTGAAAACACTGAGCATGACCTTAATTAAAGAAATAATTTTGAAGAACAGTTTCCATTGAGAAAAAAATTATATATCTTCAATAATGTAGTTGTAGGAGAGCAATGAAAAAAAAAAGTTTAATTCTTTAATTACTTTCAAAAATTTTGATGTTTTACTGAAAATCACAATTGCATCATTTTTATAAGCATATTTTTCTCCATTTCTCTGAAAATTAAAATAAAATATTCTGTGCCATTTGTGAGAAAATTTTGAAAATGTCATTGGGACATTCATTACAGTAAGACCAAAAACTAAAAGATCATTTTCTGAATCCAAAGGGTCACACATTGGCCACAACAATCATGTAATATCCATTTTGGCAAAAGTCCTTGGTCCCATTTGGGCACTAGTGTTGTCCACAGACAGAGAGGCAAGTTTTTCTATCAAAAATTTGGTAATTTTTTCCTGCAGCTTTAGATCACTTTCTCTTTATGGAATTTACTGCCCTCACAAGGAAAAACACAGTATCTACACAAAACCAAGTATTGAGAAAAACGAGTTTAATTTCCACCAGCTGACCTGATGACGGAACAGTAAGTATGTAACTGTAGGTTTAGTTGAATTGAATGTATAAATATTATTTTATAAATATTATAACTTTTTTCATTTTAGCAATGAAATAAAGCAGTTACTGCATTCTGGCTAAGCATTATCAGTGTCCAGCTATTATACTTAAGATTACTACACTTTTAATAAGATAGGAATGGATATTGCATTATTTCTAAGCAATGCTGTTACAATATTTATTATTTTGAGAGTAAAATGTAGTAATGATTAAATGATACATACTAATGTTTACATCACTAGGCAAGTATAGAGTATTTGGTGCATGTACTTGGTGGTAGTGGGCGATTTGTTGGTAGAAACTTCGATATGTTCAGGTATTTCAGGGATGAAATTGACTGTCTGCGATTTGCAAACAACGTCCATTCATTGTCCATTATGTTAAAAAATAATGATACATTTGTTTTCTTCTTGGAGATAGCAGATCCGGGACAGTAGTTCTCTTCACTTCAAAGCAGTCACATGCAGGACAAATGCTCTTCTTTCAATATATGTCATGTCCCAAAATTAGCTATTTAATGCTATTCTGCAATCTTCTCGAATACTTTCTGTGCATTTAATCTTTGTCACATGGTGGCAAAACTAAATGTTTCGTCTTGAGTTTGCTTTCTTTTTTATATTTTGACTTTCTAATTTTTCTTCTATCTTTCTCTTTTTTCGAGGCTGTCCTTTCTGGGCTATTCCAAGTGGAATACTAAATTTTCAAATTTATTGCTCGGCTTTCCTGCATCTTTTTCTTTATTCTGGTCATCCTCCTCAGCCGCACAGTCATCTTCAATCAGCTACTGGGTACGTAGTTCAGGATTTATATCTAGGCTGGTATTTTCTTCTTCACTCCTTTCTAGTGATCGATTTTCAGCACAAGTAGCACGAACTTACAGCTCAATGATTACATTGTCGTTCTCAGTCCTTATTCCTAAATGTTCAAAATCTAGGCCTAGATCTACAATATCACTGATTATGTGTTGCTGCGATGATAAGAGTTAATAACATTTTCGTCAAATTCTGCAATATTAGTGGGTTTATATCCATGGAACAACAATCCTCTTTTTTGCTGAAAGGTTGTTGTACACACTGTAGTTACAGTAGACTGGCAACTTGATTGTGCTGGTACAGTATCTGGAAAACATTCCATTGTTCTGACTTTTTTCTCCATCACTAATAACAGATTCACTTGACTTAAGTAAGCTTACAATGCGTTTACGACTATAAAACACTGTCAAAATAGCAAATACAAACTATTAACAAACTGAATCATCTCGCTGGTCTCACCTTCAAAAGTGTTGTCCACAATGGTGATTTTCTATCAAATTGGTGCTTGTGGAATAATCAAGGAGTGAGAAGTTCTTGTCACTAGGCACATTTTTGTTAAGATTGCATGTTTCTATGGCTTTAAAATTATATGATTTGTGCAACATTTCATTTGAAAAGGACAGCATAAGTTTGTTTAATGCATCTACACCTCATGAGATAATAAATAAACTGGCGCTTTTATAATATGTCCTCACAATACAGACTTTTAATACAGTGCTTCAAATTAAAGGAACTATATAATTCGAGTACATTTCTTAGAGAGAATGCAGGATCTGCTTAAAGCTTGTGGGAAATGTTTAATAATGCAGTTTTAATAAGTACGCTCTGTTCACTGCATTCTTCCAATGCACACAACCATAACAAGATGTAGGGCCTAGATACTGTGTTTTTAATTTAAATAACTTCTATACTGATTCAGATATAACATCCTAACTAAGCTAAGTAGAAAGAGCTGATTTTTCTGAATGTAGTGATTTATATATCTCAATATACAATTTTTTGGCAAATATTGCATTTTTCTTAGCGAGGGCAGTATGCAAGAAAGTAAAATACACCTGAAAAGCCATCAAAGAGACAACATGGAAGTATTACAGACGAAAACTCAAACTGTAACAAAATTCTTATATCCATCTTCAAATTCTACTAGAAATACTCTGGATGAACATTCTGCTTATATATGGCAGTCTTATGTTAACATACTTTATAGGTTTTACAAAATCCTCTTCAGTTGCAAGAGTCCCAGTGGGTAAATTTTCCCATTTGAAATGAAGACCCCAGTTAAAACCTCCCCTCACAAGAGGTGAAGCAGAATATTCAAATGTATCAGCATTGACAATGTCAATAATTGGAACTGCTACATTTGTTCGAGATGCACTAATTCGTGCAAGGAGAGGTTCAATCCATTCTACATTTACTTCGACATGACTATCTAAAAACACAAGGACCTGAAAAAAAATTGATTGATGATCACTGCAGATAATGAATGCATCAAAATAAATACTATAGTAAAATTTTATAAATTATACCTGGCCACTAGCTTCTTTGGCACCAAACATTCTGGCTCTAATTAATCCTTCTCGTCTATGTGTTTTGAGCAGAATAACTTTTGAAGTAAGATTATTTCTTATATACATGTTTAAGTCATCATGTAAATTTGCTGAAAAATAGATTCACATTTATTTCATTGCAACAATATATAAAAAACAAAGTTTGCTTTTCAGAGGTGAGAATACAAAATTTAAAAGCAAAATAACTGCACTCCTTTGTTTTTAGTTTGCAAAAAGTATGTTAAAAAATCAGTCTTCTGTACATATCCTCTATCTGAAAGACTACCACTACAACACTCCACAAAGAAAGCATATCACTCCTCCTTCTGCTTACACTGTTTCTTACATAGAAATGATACAATAACATTTTAAATTGCTTTTGATTTTTAACTTTCAAGTCCTGAAGCTTTTCCATTACACAATCCAGTGTTATGTAATGGCCCATTCTGTGTATCTGTTTTCGCTGTGTCGTTTTTTCACACAATATCTTGTATCATTTTAATAAAATGCAGAAAATACATCTTTCTAATTTACCCTCTCATATTGAGTTTTGTTAATTCACGTTTTATTTTTTTAATACTCAAATAATAACGCATATAAGCATCAATGATTATAATTGTCATCGGTAATTAATTACAATTTGTTTTCCTTGTTATATTTTCTCTCCTTTTTTTATATGGAAAATGGGATGGGACTGTTGCAAGAATAATTATTGGTGGTGGTGGTGGTGGTGGGGTTGAAGCGCTTGCGTTACAGATATAATACAGGGGGAAAAAGGTGTTTTCAAAATGTTCCAAATTTGCATTGCATAATTTATGGCCGCCACCCTAGTGACCTCAGCATCTTAATTTTTGCTGCTTCAATCTTCCTTCTCTGTTGTGCTGTTACAGTCCTTGCCACTGCACAATACAAGAGGACAGGAACCATTATAGTTTTAGAGAATTCAATAACAGTCTCAACAAAGTTTGCTTCATTATATCAAGAAGCTGCAAGAATTTAGATTTTTTGTTTCTGGTCATTAGAATGATCTCACGCAGTATTGAATCCTACTGTATGTGTGTATGTTGTATCCTTACATTGTATCCGTGAATGTTTTAAACAAATTTGTTTCCAAACTAATATTAGGATTATGGCTTAGTTTTATTTCCAATTTTCAGGTAATATAAAAAATCAGGGTTCTATATACACTATTAGTGATAAAAATGGTTTAAAATGAACTGGGTATTTGATCCTATAACATGATGTACTGGAATCTTTGCCCTACATTTTTCACAAGAGAATGAAAAAAGTTTAAAACATTATGAATGACAATGGATATCATTAAGGTTAGTATTTATTTTTGTAAGGTTAAAATTAAAAATTTGGTTTTGTATTTTTTCTCTCAATCTAGGCTTTAAAAACACTGACATTTGGGAGTGAAATCCTTTATTGCTGAAAGCAATGAGGTAATGTTTTATAGTAATGAGGTAAAAATCACTGAAATAACCTTTATAATAACCGAACCCATTACAATATACTGCATTGTTTTGAATCACTGAAATTAACTCATTGAAAATAATTTCACTCATCTTCAACTCAAACTCATACTTACAAATATTACTGCTGTCATCCACTAAAATAATCTCATGAAGCAATTTCTCAGGAGTTCGATCCAGTATACTATGAATTGTTCTCAATAACGTCTCATAATGTTCATTGTAAAAACAAATAACAATACTAGATGACGGCAAATGCTCACTATACTTTTCCTTCTTACATCTGAAAATTGACAAATTTAATTTACTATTAAATAAATAATTGATATTGCATTTTCTAAGAGTCAATAAATGATATGTTCTCCTTCAGGATTTTGAAAATGTTTTCATTTGCATAAATGAAAGTTTAGTTCGCAGAGAACAAATAGTAACTCATTTTTAGTACAGCAAATTGTGATTGGAAAAATAGGAGTAGTTTTAAATAATGTACTACAAGTTTTACCAGTCAAGCAATGCATGACAATGCTATTATGATATACTAACATACTTACAAAGGATGTCTAGTATCAGGAACTGTTCGGTGCAAGCTCAGTTTCTGGCTCACTAATACATTAAATGCATGTTTGGAATAACCTTCATCACGAATCTTTTGGTCTTCCAGATTTCGAACAAGTCCAAGGTCATTTAAACCTGCTCAATAGACCCATTTTCATTTATATGCATACATATGTTTTAAAAAAAATAATACTTTCATATCAATGTATTTGACTTCTTCACTTGAACAAGCTATTAATTTGAAATATCAGAGTACGCAGTTTGCCTCAACTAAAATTAATACATAAATTGATTCATTAAACAACATACATACCATCTGGTAATGTTTTTGAAGACTTTGGTGCAACAGGTTGTAAATGCTTTAGGAGGCCATCACTATTTTTGAAATATTTCCTTTTGTTGTAGTAGGCACTTTTCCCTTTGCCTTCAAAGGGCAATATGTCATCTCCATCAACCTTGTTTGTATCCAAAAATGTTTCATGCTTCAGTAAAGCAGAATGGTCTTTATTTGGAATGTTGACTGCTACAAATGGTTGAGATGTGGACCATTTTGATGAATATGATTCCTTACTTAATTTTGTGTATAAATATAAACTAATGGTCCATGTTGCAGATGCGAATATAATTCCAAACCAAAAAGAATTGTATCGTGTTATGAAGGCCATTGTCCTTCATTAAATTTAGATGATCCTTAAAATACTGAAATCAAAAGCAAATTATTATTTGACTTGAGATGTCAGTTCAATGTTTTTGAGTAAAACATTAAATGGATAGAATGTTGAACTTATCCGAATTTTCAAACACCTATAATTTACCTGCTTACTATTTCCAGTCACAATTCTTTTCACTTTGATTCATGATACAACGACGTGCAACTAGTGTCAATATATTCAACTTTGATCTTGGAAATATATATCATTACATTTGCGGCCACCATACCTTCGACGTTTGCGTCTCCTACGAGCAAACTTCTCTTAAAATGAGCTTAAACCCAAAAGCTACGTTATTTCACAACCCCTAACACCACCTGTCTTCCTGAAACTTTCACTGACACTTCCATCGTTTACATCGGTACGGTACACCCACAAGGATGATACTGCTTTTGCACTGCTGCCAATAGTACCGACAAAATTGCCAGGAAACAAAACGTAATCAGTATGCGCACTAATCATTCAAAAAATAGTACAATTTTTATTTCCAATGTATTTATTTACAGAATAAAATATAAATTAATTAACCAATTTGGAAATATTGTTTGGAAAAAGTGTTGCTCATAATTAGTCATTCTTGTATTAGTTTCCAAAAGTAGGAGGAAAAGCCCTAAAAGTACACAATTTCAAAATATTTCAATAATTTACAATGGTTTTACTTTCTTGCCTCTGCTTAAGCAGTTTAGGGAAAGTAATGTAATGCTGCGGGGAAATCTGCGATTTTTACCAAAAAAACCTTATTGCCTTGCCCTGGTAACAAAAAAGGATAAATCTTGTCCTCTGTATAGTAAATTACTTCCTCCAACACGTTGTGTAGTCAGAATCCATGTCAATCCATGAGTTCGCAATATCGCCTAAACGGTTTGGATGATATTCTCCAAAACTGATATTTCCCAATCGATCTTGCTGATGTCGCGACCCCTTGAAGTTGATAACGATATATAAATTTTGGGTGTAATTTACACGAAGGTCCTGGGACAGATTCAAAATCATACATACTCTCTGTACATGAATTTGGAAAATGAACAGAATTGAACAATGTACATAACCTTTGTCAAAGAGCTATTTTTTGGAACATTTTGTTTAAAGAAAAAATATTTCAATTTTGTAATTTTCCAATTTTCAAAAATACAGAGAGTTTGCCGGAAGTGAGGCACCGAAGTTTTGCCGTCCTTTGACACGTGGAAGGAGAAAATTTAAAGAAAATAAATTGGAGTCAATGTTTCATGCAAAAATTACATGAAAACTACTCGTGTTTTCAAAAAAACTGTACATATCCTTATTTGACGATCTATCTTTAAAGAAAATATCTCATTCAAGAAAAAAGCTCGGAAGACGCCAAAAATTGCACTTTTGCAATTTTCGAAAAATTTGATATTTCAACGAGACATGTGCCATTCTTTTAAACGTTCTTTCTATCCTAAGACGAAGTTTAATCAGAATATTTGGATCCAATTTTTAGAAAATTTTGTAAATGTTTCCATGAAAGCTGAAAGCTGGCTTCATGTAAAGTACCCTCCAAAACAAAATATTCGTTTCAAACTCAGATGTCTTTGACTTCATTTATATCTATCGAGTAATATCAATTTGGGAGATAAATGACTCAAGCGCTAGTGCTGAGCTTAGACGGACGAACAAACAGAAAACGTTTCGCAGCCAATCAATTTTTCGGTACCAATGATTTACAAACGATGATTTTTAACTACCTAACGTGTTATATGGAGTAATTTTACAGTATTAAGTAAATTACTTCCACTTTTTCGTTTCCAGACCACGGCAACAAGAGATTTCGTCGAAAATTCGCCGTTTTTCGGCGCACGATTACAATACTTTCACTTCTTAGAAAGTAAGTGTGAGAAAGTAAAAAGTATATATATTGTAGTCATCCACAACGTTTTCACCTTCATCCCAACCGAGGATGAAAACCGTCCTCTGAAATCTCTGCTACCGCCGCCAACGCAGCGGGCCCAGGCGCCGCCGTCACCTCTCCTCACAAGAGCGCGCTGCCGACGCACTCTTAACCGCCGTGCGACCCCTCCATAAACAAATTGCCAGCCGGTGACACGACATCGCCATCTCGGCCCATTTCATCGACACGGCGTGCGGCGCGCGCGCTCCCACGCGCCCCCCGCCCCCCGCTCCTCACCGGCCCAGCAGCTCACGCTCCCCAGCCTCCGGAAAGCAGTGCGGGCGCGAGGTATGCCAGTGGTACGGAGGCAACGGTCTGGGGAAGAAGGAAAGGGATCGATCAATGAAACGACGACGAGAAAAGTTCGAGTGCGGTTTCACCAGGGTTTGCTGTTTCCGGGCACATCAACTATTAAGGTCATTAGTCCCATGAGTTGGTTGGTTTGTTCTTAGTGATTCCGGGCGCGTCAACTGCTAAGGGAATTAGTCCCGAAAGTGTAGTACTTCTTTCTCGGCAGGTGGCGGTGATCTCTCTCCGCTGGATGGCGAGATCCGGCGCCGACCTACCGTCCCAACCAGGTATCTTCCACCAGCGGCGAACCGCTTCAAGCCAGGACAAGCTCTAACCTCCCGACCGGTCTTCTGGCATGTGTGTGAATGAAGAGTACCATTAGTGTAGTTAAAGTGTTTGCAGAGAAGGGGTGACACCTTCCGCGCTAGAAAGTGAGGTTCGGTTGTCGACCTGTACGTCGGCTTGCAGGGAATAGATTTTCCCCTCCAGATATCTCCCCCAACAGGGCCCCTGCTCAGTCGTGACAAGCTCTTGGCTCCCACTGGTCCCGACATAGTACGCGATAGTGCAGGGCATGTACGCGTGTTTGTTATGGGAGATGATAGGTCGAGGAAGAGAAAAGAAAGATTGCAGACCAAGTGCATTCGGCTGGTATCAGTAAGAAAAACTGCAAAACGCTATCGAACAGAGCTGCCGGCCGCTAAAATGCGCCTCCAGAGAGCGGCTGAATTCACACTGCATAGATACAGTTGTAGACAAAAGTATCCATACCCACGTTTTGCGATGATACAATATTTAATATATCCTATGGAAAAATTTAAGAACATACAGTGGAATCATAAAATCTCGAATCAATTAGTATGTGATGTAAGCATACTGCAATAAAATGTATACTAGATAGTGGAAACATATAAGATGTATATATGTTTGTTAAGGTCAGAATTTTCCCGGACGTTCGGCGGCGAAGGAATGAGCAGGGGTCATGGCCTAGGCCGGGGTCCTTGGAATGGGCAGTGTGCAAGGCAAGCCCTTGTTACTGATTTCACATTACTACAATTCAGCCCAATAACAACACAATCATAAGTTTGTCCAAAAACGATCAACAACGATAGCAATAACATAAAACAATACTCAATTGCAATGAACATGCTGCCCAGGAGAATTAGGGGCAAACGTCTCAGACGATACACATTAGCGTTCTGCTGGTTGCCTACACATTGCTCCGTCACACATTTTCTTGGTAGCATCTAGTAAATCCCAAGAACGTCCCCCAGGGCAAAAACATATCCATTTAATATTAATAGTGCTACAACAGCACACACATCCCCGCACTATTTGTACGTTTTCCAATTTTTGATAATTCCGAGAGTTCAACGAAAATGGAATCTGCACCATTTTTACAAGCGAGCAAGAAAAATTTAAAGGCAACATTTTGACCTTTTTAAAATAATTGTTTAAAAAGTCCCATATTTCAGATAAAATCAATAGCATTGTCTAATAATTGTACATGACATTTTTTTAGAGATCTGTCGTTGAAGAACAAACATTAAGGAAAAAATAACTATCTTCAAAATTGTAGTTGTAGGAAGACGCCTGGAATTTTTTGAACTTTCGCTATTTTCGAAAATTCAGAGAGATCAACGAGGACGTCCACACAACGTATGCCCGACTTCACGAGTGCGAACGTTGAAGCCATCGCATTGTGTTGTCTGCTGCTTTCCCTCGCTCCATCCGCATTCCACACTCTGCTGACTTAAGCAAATCGTGACTCATTGAAGCATACACATCCCATTATACTGTTCTTGTTCTTAAGGCAGACTTTCGATCTCTTGTGCCTCTCAGCACGATGAATAAGATGCTTCTTGTTAAGCTCCATCTTCACTTACCTCGAATTAGACTGGTTTTATTTACCACTTATCTTCTCAGTGGATTTGTTTCGGGAAGTAATATTCTTGGCACACAAGATAAATAATGAAGTAATGAAAATCTATAAGTAAAACATACGGTTAACATACACGAAGAACGAAAAGTAGAAACGACTTCGATGATAGGAAAGGAGAACGAGGAGAAAAAGAAATCATATAGATAATAATTAAAAAAGGACTAAATAAAACTAAAATCTCGAATTTGTAATGAATATTCAAAAGAGAAAAAGAAAGATTACATTTAAACGACCTCTTTAGTTCAAATTCCGAAGGGACCTCGAAAAATTGTAATTATTTACAAATGGAATTCATCAACTTTTAGTGTACGGAATATAATACTTTCCCGTAATATTGATCACGGTTGTGAATGAAACAAAAGAAAAATTGAAAACAGGAAATTTGGTCTCCATCAGAAACAAGTTTACAACAGCCTTACCCAAACCCGTTTCACAAGCATCTCCCCTGATGTAGCTAAAGCAGAAGAGTTCTGGTGGAGTCAATGGGCCAGGCCTGGACGATGCAATGCTGAAGCCGATTGGATCGAAGATGCATCAGCAAAGTGTTCATCATGCAATCGTGCAAACCATCAGTGATCCCAGTGACCTAAAAAACGTAATAAAAGTCCTCCAAAACTTGAAAACTACAGGCCCTGACAGGATCCAGATCCTATGGAATACAACTTTGGGGCACTGCGGCCAATTCTAACCTTAAAATACTACAGCTATTTCAAC